CTCTCCAACCGGTTTTACAACCAAGGAACCTATTGAGGAAGAAGGCCCTAAAGAAATGACTTCCTGCTAGGAGGCAAGCTCAGTCTCTGCAAAGTGAGAGAAAAGGCAGGCAGAAGCAGGTGGCACCTTGCAAGTATGACCCTAGTCTAGGCCTGCCAGAGCTCTAAGCACGTGGTGACCACTGTTTCCTTTCCACTAGACGTCAGGCCACAGATCGGGGAGCAAAAACCAGCTCTGAGTCACTGACGCTGGTGAGTCTGAAGATGCAAGACTCTTGAAATGTCTTGCAGGATGTGAACCACTGAGGCTGATGTGAAACCACTGAGGTTTCCAGAGCACTGTCCACCATTCAGGAGCCTTTCTCAGGCTGCATCCTCAGAAGCTGCTCGAGGAAGAATGTAACCAAATAGACACAGGGCAACTCATGTTCCACAAGAGGCCCTATTGACCACCGTCAGCCTGAGTACCAAATGGTTGGTTCTCTGTTTGATTCCACTGAAGACTTCTGTGCCTGCTGTTCCCTCTCCTTAGGATGCTGAGAATGCTTCAAATGGGCCCCGCCCTATGTCTCGTCATGCAAGACATCATCTTAAATGTCACACTCTAAAGTTTTTCCAGATCCACTCTGTTAAGCTACCGCTCCTCACCTGCCAGCCATGCTCTGTCTCACATCCTGTTGTGTTTTCTTCCTATGCTTTCCATAATCTAATACTCACCTGTTTGTTTTTACTGGCTTTCATTCGTAACAGGCTGAAGACTTGTTCCTCTAACCTCTCAGATATAAGCACACAGAGAGAAAAAGCTCATATTTTGTTTGCTGATGCATCCTCAGCATCCATCACACTGTAAATGCCAGTAAATATGAGCTCAGTAGAAGAATGAACATGGGCCTGGATATGTCAGATCTGAGCTCAATTCAGGGAACTTAATTAGCAGAAGAGATCCAGAAAGCATCCTATCCCTCCAGAAACTTCAACAATTGCAAAAATCAGAATCACATCTCCAAAAAAAAACACCACTTGATATCATCATTTTCTGGGCTCTTGCTATAGTCAAGAAGAACTATAAATAAGACACACATGCAAACATCATATTGTTTCATTAGTGTAACAAGTTGAAAGAAAAAACATATGTGTATGCATATGTATACAAAAAATAGTTAAGACAGTTATAGTATTGATTTCTGAGTTCATTGAACAAAAAGATTTGTACTGATATTGTTCAGACAATCGAAGGCAAATGTCTTGTGCTCTGGGTGAATGATTTTAGGATGACAATCTGCAATATATCTACCATTGTTACCCCAACTGACATGCTTTGAAATTTTGTTATAGTTGTGTTTTCATCTTCATTTTTGTCTTCTTCTTCTCCGCCTCCTCCTCCTTCTGCTTCTCCTTCTTTTTCTCTTTCTCCTCCTCCTCTTTTTTCTAATTATCTTTGAATAAAATGGATTTGGAAAAAAAAAGAGAAGAAGAACTGGGAATGGAGGTCTCTTCCTTTTCTACCACCCTGCACATTCCAGGCAGAGGACGGCCTTTCACAATCAAATCCTCTAGGATTCCCTCTTGTTGATTCACTTGGGTTGGAGAACTCAAATTTTAATTTTGATTTCCAGTATGCAGAAGTTGGGGAGATTTGCTTCCCAAGTTATAAACTTTTCTTTCTCTGTTCTTAGAAGAGGGTAGGGAGAAAGACAAGAGAGGAGGCAGGTTTCCTACACCAACTCCAGTATAAGAACACCCCAACGTCACATTTACTCTTGGAAATAGCTCTCCTCCCCTTGCGTAATGCTTAGCCTCACACATTCACCAGCCAGCGCATACTCATGCCACCAGGGCATTTGCTCCAAGGAAAAGGGCCAAAAGAATCAGATATCTTTCTCTGACGACCCAAGGTCCCTGAAAAATATGCTTATCATTTCACCCCGACAAACCCCTTCCTCTTCCAAAATTCATAATGGGTTTAAAGACATATTCCCTGCCTAACTTTCTATCTGTCCTTCTGTGGCTGGAAAAACACCAAGATGCTTATTTCAAAGAGATGAAAATTGAAGCCAGCACTGTTGAAGATTAAGCATGCCATCTGAAAGCCAATCACAATGTCTCAAAAACCAAGAGAGAGCCAGCAAAAGAAAACATCCAGGCAAATCTGCAGCATCCTGCCTAAGATATTACCTTCCATCACTGCTATCTGCAGTGACTAAGGGCTGCTGTGTGTCCAGGAGAGGGACTACAGGGGTCCGGTGATAGAGCCATGCCCTGAAGCACTCACCGTCCCAAAGACGACACCCCCTTTTCTGGTGCTACCAAAGATGCTCAATCTCAGGGCTCCCCCAACCTTAAGTATGTAAAAAGAAAGTGTGATTCAGAAACAGAGCCCTGAGAACACAGGCGAAAGGAATTTTATAGGCGGGATTACAACTAAGGACTTTGAGATGGGAGATGATCCTGGATTATCCAGGTGCCCAACCTCATCACCTAACTCCCTAAAAGTGAAGAGGAAGGCAGAAGAGGGGGTCGGAAAGCTGGGACATGCAACAGGCTAGTTCCCTGTTGTTGGTTTGAAGATGGAGGAAGGGAGCTAACAGCCAAGGAAGGCAGCAGCCTCCAGAGACAGAGAATGGCCTAAATTCACAGCAAGAATGTGGTGGCCTTGGGCCTGCACCCACAGGAAGTACACTCTGCCAGCAATTCGGAGAAGGGAGAAACCGATTTTCCCTTATACTCCCCTAAAGAAAAGCAACCTGATGACATCTTGATTTTATTCTTGTGACACTCATTTATCCTAGTAAGCCACAGAACTATAACTGAGTTTAAAAGGTTCAAAACTGCTACATTTAAGCAGTAGGAAATCGTTCCAGCGGCATGGGAAAACAAACACATGGTGCGACCCTGAGTAAATCGCTCTTTCTGACTGGACCTCTGTTTTGTTCTCAGTCATTTGGAATAATGGACAAGCTGATTTCTGAGATTCTGGTTCGCTCTGGAAGACTGACCACTCTCCTGACACGTGCCACCCCACCCCAGCCAAGTACTCATTTGGAGGGACAGGAGTGGAAGGCCACCAAAGAAAGAAAAGAGAAGAGTGAAAGAAAAAATAATCTTCAAAAAGCCTTCAAGGTATTTTCTAAGATACCCCCTACAGGCACAGAGCAGAAAGGTCTATTGTTCCACTTGTTACTTTCTTGACTTTACCCCAAAGTAATGAAGTGGGAAGTCTGGGAGATAAAGAAAGCTCCAGGATCAATAGGCAGACCCAGCTCAGAGCACTGAGTGAAGGATTTCACTCAGCCTTGTGGATGTCAGGTGTCGGTTAGGGAAGGAATCAGGACTAGTGATATGTGTGCCAGGTATCTGTCATCATTAAATGAAAGGTTTGGGGAAAACCAGTTTAATTTTCTCTGTCTCTCCTTCTCCTCCTCTGTTTCATTCTCCCTGAACCTATGTAATGAGTTATCAGCCAGTCACATACTCAATCAGCAAAGCAGAGCCCCCAAATAAGAAAGCTACACCTATACACACTCAAGTAAATATATTCCATATTGCGGATTGAACCCAGTGATGCAGCACATTGCTAGCATGTGCTGCATCACTGATCAGGCCTGTTTAGCACTTCGATACAGAATCTAGGTTGTATAGAACTGGACTTGAAATTGTGGCACACTTGGCCTCAGCCTCCTGGACACCTGGGATTGCCTGTGAGCCACCACACCCAGCTTCTCCACACAACCAAGCAATGTAAAGTACACGTTTTGAATCCGGCTTGCTGCTGTTGAATATGCCAGCCAACTCTTAACTCTGACCTGCTCAACACTGAGCCTTTACCACTTCATTCTCTCTCAAGCCACCTTTTGCCTCCCTACTGAGCTATAAGAGGTCCTGAGCTCCTAGTAACCCACTAGTGTCCTGGCTATAAAGGTCTCATCTGACTTCCTCCAGATTCCTGCCTTCCTGGCAGTCAGTTACAGAAGCGGATCTTGAAATCTGGTTCCCCAAATTCCAATGACATTCACCTCCAGAATAGACGGTAGAGTCAGCTTACTGGGTGACCACACCTACACCTCATGGTCATTTCCTTTCCCTGAAGCTCCACTGTCTCATACACTGTGTTAAACGAAGACAGCAATAGTCCCTCTCCAACAAGACCATATTAGAGGCTAAATTAATGAGTGCACGTAAAATGCCCACAGCATGCACTCAGTTGGTGTCCAGTAGGATGGCAATGCCATTATTCAGCACACCTGGCCAGTCAGGGTGGCCTTCAGGAGGGTGTGATGATGTCAGCACTTACTCCTATAAATCCTGGGTGGGAATGCTTACATCTGTCTTTGCACTGTCAATGGTGGCTGTGTAATATCAACCAAAATAAAAACCCCTTTCCTTGGCAGTACTTCCTTCATTTGTATATTTTAATCCATAGAGTAAGGGCAAAAACACATTTATAGCAGAGGACAGAATACAGCTGGGAAAGCAGCCGAGGTTGTGACTTACCCCTTAACCTCTGTCTGTCACCCAGCATCTGATTCAACCACACTCCCCAGAGCCTCTTAATGTTTTGTGTCTCTGACACCTCAGCACAGCTCTGTGGTTCTCGGTACCAAAGAAGGGGAATTCCCATTTTGTGCAATGGATCCCACAGCTCCAAGAGGTCAGTGCCTAGTCACTCCACCAAAATTTACAACCTCAGGGTGACTGGAGACAGGAGGTCTCCGGTGCAATGGAAAAACACTTCTTGGCTTTTCGGGTTCTCAGTGTAGGGGTACATGCTGTCCTCAAGCTCAGCAGGGCTGTGCGGTGTGTTTGGACAGTTGGTGAGTGATTGTACAGCACCAGAGCACGCCGCCCTCACCCACAAACACGCGCTCTACTTCTTTACAGAGGGGGGAAGAGGAAATCCGGAGAGGGAAATGCCCCAGCCACCATAACGCAGGAATTCCTGAAACCTTTCTAGAGAACTGTTCTTCCCACCCACTCCCAGCCCAGCCCCAACCAGGTACTCACAGTCCCTCTGGACTTTTCTGGGCACCAGAAAGCCCAGCAGATAGAGGAGGAAAGACTGAGTGGCTTCCCAGGCTGCAGCCTGGAGCTCTGAGGAGCCTGGAATTCACTGTCTACAATCTGGAACCATTAGCCCCAGGCGGCACCAGACTTGGTGCTAGTCAAGAAGAAACACTGAAGCTGCACGAATAGGAGTCCTGCCAGGTCATTCCAAGAAAATAACTACTCTTGACGTTTCCAGGGCTTTTAAGGTTCCCACCGACCAACCTCTCATTCAGTCAGCACTGATCGAGCACTTTCTATTTGCCAAGCCCTGTGCGTCAAGTGCCTCAGAGATAATACAGTAGATAAGCAACTTTGCATGCCAGAAACCGGGCGGAGAGGAGCGGTGCAAAAGAACCAGCAATTAGATACTTTCTAGCTAAAGCAGCTAATACCCCGAGGAGGGAGAGCTGGTGGGGGTGCGGGGATCCCTCTCCACTTTTCACACATCCTTTGTCCTTTGCTTTGTGTCCAGAAAAGAGCGTTTTCCACGCTCCACAGATGGAGACACCAAGACTCAGAGAGAGGACGGTGAAGCAGCTAGGGACAGAGCCAGGACGAGAACCCACCAGTCTTGACTCTAAATTCCCGCGCGTTCTACGCGGGGCACTGCAGAAAGGAATGCCGCGATTCTGGGGGTTGCTAAGACCCCAACACAGCGCAGCGCCCCAGCGCCGACCCCGGGCCGGGAGAGCGGATCCGCAGCGCCGGGAGGATGAAAGCGGGAGTGGGGAGCCCGGCGTAAAGCCCGGGCGGTGGAGCTGGGGCGCCCCCACCGAGTTCAGGGTCCCCGGAGGCCCGAAGCTCTGTGCAGAAAGGGTGGCTGGAGCCTGGGGTTGAGGGGACGCCAAGGGAACGGGACGAGGGGCTGCAGGGAAACGAGCCGGGCGAGGCACGGAGGGGCGCGGGAGGTCGCGGGGTCGCCGTGGCGAGGGCTGCGCGCAGCCAGAGCCCCACCGCCCCCCACCCCGGCGGCCTCACTCACCCGGCACCGCGGCCGGTCCGCGGAAAGCTCCCGGCGCAGACACCGCCCGGCGCTCCTCCCGGTCCTCGGCTCGCCCGGGATCCGGCCCCGGAAGCCGCCCCCGGCCCCGGAATCTCTGCCCCAGCCAGCGCCAAGAGCGCGCCCGACCGCCCGAGCCCGGGAGCGCGCAGGAGCCACCGGAACGTGGGGCTCAGCACCCGGCGCGCCGAGCTCCACCTGCGCGCCCGCCGGGGACCCAGCGCCCCGAGAGCCGGCGCCACTCCCTGGCCTCCTTGGCCGGCCCGGGGAGAAAGGAACTTCGAAGAGAAACAGAGCGCGGAGGCTCGGGTTCCCTTCCACCTCGGCGCGCGCTCCCCCCTGTGGCCTTAAAGAGATTACGGGGTTCCTGAGGGTCTGCGCTCGGAACTGTAAAGCCAGAGGGTTGGCCTGCAACGAGCTGGACCCCAGAAAGTCTAGCTAGTGAGTTTGGATAGAAGACTCAGGCTTCATGCTTTGCAATGGGCTGAGCACAGGATCCTTAAAATCTCAGCCTCTCTGTGCACAGGGTCACAGCGCCGGTCTCCCAGCCCTCCTGAGCATCGACTTGGAAGACCAGTGTCAGACTGTTGCTGTCTGCCATGAACGTGTTTATTTTGTGATAACAGCGATCCAAAGCCCATTAGGGTTCAGTATCTGAGCGGCTTCTGAGCGTCCCCTCTTTGTTGGTGGCTCAGGTTCCAAGCAGCACAGTGCGCACCCGCCAACCCGCAGAATAAGAAAACTCTCCCATCTCGCCTTGGCACTCACACTTAGTAATTCAGCGACAGGTTTTCTCCAGCCTTACTCTTCTGAAAATGAGGAGCGTAGGCCTTCACTGCCAGTGCGGACTTGAAAGTCCTGGAGCTCAACTGTGCCCCAGTTCTTCCCTCACCCAGTGGACACAGTAAGCCCCGCACTTCAGTCTACTGTTTTCTCTGGCTTTGGGATGAGGTCAGCACAAACGACATCAAATCTCATCACCAGATGCCAGGGAGTTTTGTGAAGATGAAGGGAATTGTCATGAGAAGCAATCTGGCAGGAATTCTAGGGCTCATCAACCAACTGCAGGTCTTTACTGCGAAGAGGAAACGCAGGGTCCTAAAACTAAGCGTGACACAATTCTGACCTCTTTAGAATAAGATTTAACAAGGAAGAGTAAATTTAAAAAGGACAAACTTCTTAAACACGAATTGCTCCCTGGTTAGTGGAAGTGGCGCTGGGGGATCTTTCGGGCGGACAGCTGGTATCTGAAGGTGCCAGGCTTTCATGCTGGGTTCTTTCCAAGACTGGAGCCAGAATCTGGGGAGCTTAGTCTGCCATTCCCTTTCAGCAGGGCATTAGGATCTCTTTGATACCAATTTTGCTCGGAGACCCAAAAACTTAAGCCAAAAAGTAAGTTCAAATGCTCTAAAACTAGGAAAGTATAGAACATTGTTCGCCGCCTCCACTGGACTGACTTTGAATCATAGCCACGCTTTTTTCATTTTTCACTTATGCAAGTATTTTATTAAATTGGAGAGAATAATGTGGCATTAACATCACAGTTTCCTCACCTGTAAAACAGTAACATGAGAATTAGTCCTCCTGTCTGATACGATTATGAGTAATTTTATTCATTATTTATTTTCATTCAAGTTTATCCATTGGATATCTCCTACACATTCTAGGCACCAAGAGATAATTATCTTTATTTACCCAGCTTACATCTAGGAAATTCAGATTACACTCTCCATGATAAAACACTTTCTATCACACTATCACGTTATCTCTTTTTATGTTTTTCACGGTTTTTCAAACTGATATAATCTTGCTTATTTGTTTCTCAGGAAACTAGAATACACCACACAGAGTAAACATACTTTTGCCTCTTATTTCTACATGCTTTAGAGTGGACAGACCTTTGGGTTTATGTTACTATGTGCTCCGCTTTACCACTGTAAGAAACGTCAAAGGGATGTGTGGCCGTAGAAAGATTTATAGACAGGCATGGTGGTGCACACCTATACTCCCAGCACTCAGGGAACTATACTCATAGTATATTGCACTATACAGCCTGAACTGTATAGTGAAACTCTGTCTCAAAAAGAAAGAGAAAGAAAAAAAGAAACAAAGAAAGAAGAAACAAAGAAAAGAAGGACTTACTTAATATGATTGCTTTTGACATTTGCTGATCAACAAGATATTTTATTTCAAACCACCAGCCACTTGCCTAATATCTCTATTACTGGAAATAAGAGTTAAGTCACAAATTGCAATTTTTATGGCTCTTTGATACCATACCAAGAATTAAAATAGCAAAGAAACATGCATATGAATGATTACAAGTATGATTTGATTTATCAAAGAAAACAAAAAAGTTTGTCTAGAAATAAATGGGCCAGAATTTGAAAGATTAGTAAAGGACAAATTTTTAATGACCAAGTTGTATCAGTTTAAGGAAAAGAAAACTGTATCTTTTGTTTTATCATAACTGTTAATAGTAAGTCTGGGGAAAAAAACAATGAAATATGTTAAAAATTTTACTAACTTGGCTTTGTTTTAATGGACTTACTCATAAGATTTTTTTAAAGGTTGGGAATTTTTTACTGTCAACTGTTACCTCAATGTGAGAGTATAATTTGATTTTATTTTTCTCTACTTGAAAATGACAAATAGTGGCAGAATATTTCACTTTTGACAAGAAATAATGTTATTTTCAGTTACCGTGTCCAAATAGAAGATACACTATAATCTAAACAGAACAATTTTTCTTGCTTTGTACTGACTGTCCTTGATTATTTAAAAACAAACAAAACAACAGCTAAAGTACTTCATTTTGAAATATCGGAAGTTCCTTATAATTATGTCTTCAGTTACGTTTACCTGGATATAGCATGTCATCATTAGTCCCAGGCATCTGCCTTGATGATTCTTTTCTGGAAATTATTTTTAATGCTACCTTACCAAGATCAGTTCCAGAATTTAGAAAAATGTAATTTTAACGTGTTTTTTACATGCCAAATCGTCTTTGGTGATTCCTAGATGTCTTAGATACTAAAGGTTTAATATTTTACTCTGCACCTTATAACACATACTGTGTTATTCACAGCGAGACAGATGCTAGTATCAATTATGTTCATATTTCTTAATTCAATAATAATACAAGAATTACAATACATACTTAGCCTACAAAATAAAATAGGTTATACAACAAAAAAGTAAAGGTGATCTTTCCTATGTTACTTTTTATTACAATTATTAATACATAGTAATTGTACAAATTAGGTTTGACTATGACATTTCATTATACGCATAGATTGTGTATTTTGAACATATCCACCCTCCTCGGGAGTCCTCCTCTATAGTCTTCTCCCTGTGGTCCCTTTCACTCTCCCTTCCCTAGCGGGAAGGGAGACCCCGTTTATGGGAGAACATATGAGATACTTCTCTTTCTGTGTCAATCTTATATCTCTTTAGCATGACAACTTTCACTTCCATCTATTTTCCTGCTAATGACCTTATTTCATTCTTTGCTATGGCTGAATAATATTCCAATATATGTAATACCACATTTTCCTTATCCATTCATCTGTTGACAGGCATATAGGTTGATTCCATAATTTAGCTATTGTGAATAACACCACGAAAAATAGTATGCAAGATTTCCTTTTGCATGATGACTTCATTTCCTTAGGTTATATCCTCAGAAGTGATATAGCTAGATCTTGTGGTAATTCTAAATTTAGCTTTTTGAGGAACTCCATACGGTTTCCCATAATAGATGCACTAATTTATATTCTACATCAATAGTGTATCAGAGCTCCTTTCCTCACACCCTCACCAACAGTTTCCCTATGTAACTTTCTAAAGTAGATCTATCAGTGTCCCTGTATTCACAGTATATTCTTAACCCTTCAGGAGACACTGAAAAAAATCTGCAACCCAACAGAGGAATTTATTCTACTCTAGTTTGATAAATAAACTACTTGTAATAATCTAATAAAAATTATAACAGGTAGTTTTTGCTTTTCATCTGTGCTTGCCTGAAGAGATCTGGTACTCTATATACTAGATTCTTCAACAAAAACAGTCCTAATGCCTTTGTAAAAAAGATTGCTCCGGGGACTCATAACTGGACAAAGACTTGTAGATCCAGGCTTCTCAGGCTGAGCCAACCCCAGATAGACATCTATAGACTGGAGTATAGAATTATATCAGGATGCTAGAACA